GGAGGGACCTTAGGAACAAAAAAGAGTTAGATTAATGGAACAAGATCATGGTGGGGAGGTAGAGAATAAATACCTATATAGAGCTTATTATGTGCCAGGCACTGTGCTAAGAACTTTACAAATATTATCTCATTTGGTTCTCTCAACAACCCTGGGAAGTAGCTACTATTCTTATCTTCATTTCACAATTGAGGAAACTAAGGCAGACAGAGGTTAAGTGACTTGCTCAGGGTCTCACAGCAGAATGAGTGTCTGAGGTTGAATTTGAACAGCACTCTATCTACTGCACCACCTAGTAGCTGGAAATGGGATAAGATGGGATAGAAGGAGATGAGATGAAAGGTGTCGGGAGCAGGTTAGTTTTTGTAAAGAAGAAAGTCATTTCTTCTCTAAGACTGGGGAAAAAAGGGAGAGAAAGAGCAAGGATATTGAAAGGATTTAAGCAATGCAGGCTCCAGTTCTTGTTGAACGGTCTTCATCTCATCGTGGAAGGGAAGGAAGACAGCAGACCTGGGTGCCTGAGGAGAGAAGATGTGAATGAACAAGAAGTATAGCAGCCTCTAGCAGCACAGGAGAGGAATAGAGGGGGCAAATGAGAGGAGCTCCTCTGGCTCAAGGAAACAAAGAACTCAAGAGGGGAAGAGAGGGCACTGCCCAAGTGGCTGACTACAGGATCAAGAACAGGTAACAGACAAACATGGTTGATAGACTGAGGGGCCAGGGTGAAATTTGGGGAGGGGGGAGAAAATATTTTAATCAGAGACAGGCATGGGAGGAATAAAGGAATGAGGGGTGAAGGGACAGGACATTACAGAGAGATGAGAACTTGGGAGTACAGAATTTTCGAGGCACAGAAGTTTTGCGGGATGATGATCTCATAGGAAGCAAGTTCCTAAAATTGTGAGAATAGGGTATTTATTCAGAAGAATACTGAAGTCCTTGACAATGACAGAAGGAACAGAGGTGACCAAGACAGGTATCAAATTCAGAGGGAAAAATGAGAGCTTGATGGGGAAGTTGGTAGAATAGTAAGAATCTGGAGGCGTTGGTTTACTCCAAGGTTCTTAACTTGGGGTCTGTGAAGTTGTTTTTAAAAGTATTTTGATAACCGTATTTCCATAATTGATTTCCTTTGTAATTCTATGTATTTTATGAATTTAAAAAACACTATGTGGAGAAGGAATCTATAGGCTTCACCAGATTGCTGAAGGAGTCCATGACACAAGAAGACTCGCTCAAGTTCCTGTGTACAAATTAGGAACCATGATTGTAAGTCTTCTTGTATTGAAATTAACTTTATATAGTCAATTTAATATGTAATATTAAATATAATAAAATGTATAAATATATAAAATTATATAGAAATAATTTAATATATAAATAATATTAAATATAACTTAACAATATAATATTAATATAATTTGTATAATTAATATATAGTTCTCTGTGTCCATGGATAGAACCCAAGATCCTCGAGGGCAGAGACTGTTTTTATTTTGTATCTACAGTGCCTTACCCTTAGTAACTGCTTAATTGATGCCATTGAACTGACAAACTGAAGTACAATACAAGGAAAAGGGAATAATGAGAGAGCTTTAATTTTCAGAGCAAGGGAGCAGGGAAGGTTTCCCAGAGCTGGAATGAGCTCTTTCCTGCAATAGTTATTTATTACTAGTTTACAAATGGAGCTCAAAAAGAAACTCATCATTTCATGAGGTCTAATCTCTGTAACATTTGGTACATTCTACTATCTGTCTGGTTTATTTCCAGATCCAGGCTTATCATTTTTTCCATTTTCTTTCTGCTTTCCAGTCTCCTATCCAATCTTCTAGGCCAACACAAGTTCTAGTTCCTTCATGAAACCTTCTTAAAGCACCTTTGCTCCCATCAAAGTTGCCCTTCCTCTGAACTGTTAGGGCACATATCATCTCTACCCCATTCCACCACCTGGCCCAGCACTACTATGCATACATAACGTACTCAGTAAATAGTTGGGGAATGTCAAGACCTTGTTCTAACAGGAACTTATATTTCAGTGCTCCAGGAAAGGCACATTCAAAGAGCTTTCAACGATTAATGGAGACAAACTAAGTGTCTTTTGCTACCTTTTAGAGCTAAAAAGTTCCTCCAAAAGGAGAAAACTAATCTTTTGCCTTAGGTGGCCAATCCCTGTGTTAGATAAGCCTGATAGTTCACGATTTTCCTTACGTCCCATCCAAATTCTCTCCTAAAGAAAATGAATCACAATCCTTCCTGTTCAGTGTTTTGTGGAGACAGAGAATAAGCAGCAAGTATTCTCTTACTAGACTTTCATTTTATTTAACCCAATTACTCGGTTACCCTTGAGGAACTTATTTCTCATCTCTGCTAAAGACCCAACTTGTGTGATGGATGGGACTCCAGTTTTTCAAAGGCTTATAAAAGCAAAATACAAAAATTGTCAGGTCAGATTAAGTCAGACTAGAGAGAGAGTGACAATATGTATCTGTCACCTGAGGCCAAGCTCAGATAGGAGCATCACAATAAAGGTGGTCATCAGATAATAACTACAGGCAATTCTCTTCACTTGCCTGGGCCTCAGTTTCTTCATTTCTCAAATAAGGGGTTTGGACTGGATGAGCAATGCAGCCCCTTTTGTGCTTTAAATCTATGGTCCTATGAATTTCTAAAAATCACAATTCATGAAAACCATCTACTAAGATATAGAAGTGTTGTTATGGGGAGAGTATACACATCTATAAAATAATAGTTCTTTTAAAATGAATTATTTTCTTATGTAGGTATATTAGAATTAACATACTAATTAATTAATTTGCTAATACAGGTTTATTATTCATTCTAGATAAGCAGTGTACCCAGAGACAGCACATCAGCTGTATGTGTGAATTAACCAATGCCCTGCCAAAGTACTGCCTATAAGATTTAGTCTTAGGAATTAGCGAAGACCCCAACCTTCTGGAAAAAAAATCTGCCCTAAGCTACATTTCCTAGCATATATACAAGTCTAAGTCACATCTGAATTTTCCTATTAGAAGTATGGTCAAGATTTCTAAAACACAAAAATAATCAAGCTGTGCACAGTCATAGAGAAAACCCTAGAGGCCTTTCAAGGTCTGTTGGGTATTTGCAAGCCTTCTTAGGAGCTGTGTATTTGAAACAAGGCACTCCCAGAGCTCAGAGTGAAATCAGGCTTTTGATGCCCAATATTTTTCATAAGCTGTTGGCACTTGAACACAATTTTCCAAAATGTTTGAAGCCAATGTATAAATCATTCATTATAAGAAACCATAAACTTCTGTCACAGAATTAAAGGAAAGATTCATCTTTCAAAACTCCAAAAGCAAAGGAATGCTTTAGAGAAGTCAATCTAATGACCCAGGATTTGTACATTTTCCATACTGTTCTCTACAGCTATTGGAAAGCAAACCAATGCTTCTAGGCAAAGAGCAATGCCCCTAAATCACATGAGTCATGACGAGGTGGTTCAGGTCCTTCTGACATTTTAAGTTTCCCAGCATTTTAAAATCTTTCAAAGTAGGTTTTCAAATGGGATGACTTTTTGAAAAGTAAAGTCATATAGTTGACTTCTTTCTGAAACTTAAGTAGATGATTTTTTTTAATCCCAAGAGGTTTATTCAAAATCTCTTGAGAACAGTAATAACTACTATTAAGTAATAGTAATAACTGAAATGTAAAAAACCAAACACAAACACAACTAATCAGTGACTTTGCATTCCATGAATTCTTTCAAATATCATAAGCCAATCCTTACACTAAGGTGGGGGAAAAAATTAAAAGATCATTAATGCAGATCCTTGTCCTCTAAGAAATTACAGAATAATAAGGCAGCAAGGATGCATGTATAATACAAAGTAGAATGTAAGAGAGGTATCAAAGCAGTACAGCAGGTGAGGGGAGCAAAAAATCATATACGTGTGTGTGTGTGTGTGTGTGTGTGTGTGTGTGTGTGTGTGTGTGTGTGTGTATGGGAGGATCTGGGAGGTCAATATCAAGGAAGTTTTCAGGAAGGAGGCAGCACTTCAGCTGCATCCTGAAGGATGATCTCAACAGGCAGGGGCAATGGAGAGATTATTATAAGTCAGGGGACAGCTGGAACACAGCACTGAGCCAAGAAAACAAAATCTGATCAAGGAATTTAAGTAAACTAGCCTGACAATTGTTTGCCATAAGATGTGCTACTTTAGATAACTATCATAATAACTGACTTTCATACAGTACTTTACATACATATAAGTAACATGGACAGGATGATTGTAGCCAGACTGAAGACACTCTTGAATGCCAGGCTAAAGAATTCGTATATTATTTGGTGAGAATTAAGAGGTAAGGTCATCTGCTTGGAAAGCAAATTTGGAGGTTCAACAAGAATGGAAAAGATCTGGAACAATAACTGCAAAGAATGCATTACAGAGCCTATAAGAAAAACTTGGTTGAACAGCAGTGAGGGCCAGAGGAGATTAACTAAGACAAATTTTCAGTAGAATCAATCAATAGTTTCATGACAGAGTCATAGAGTTGAAAGGCACACTAATAGGTCATTTAGAACAATGTCTGTGAACAAGAATTGCCTCTGTGAACTGGACTAGTCGTCCAGTTTGTTCTTGAAGATCTCCAGGGAGGGCACGCCCACCATCGTCTGAAACTTGCTATTCCACTTTTGGATAGCTCAAAATTCCTTACATTGAATCTAAATCTATCACTCTGTGAAACTTCTACCTTTTGGTTCCTAATTTTTCCCTCTGGAGCAAACTAGAATATAATCCTCCCACATGACAGTCTTTTGAATATTTGAAAACAATTACCAGATTCCCCTAAAGAACTTTATTCTCTAGGCTGAACAAAGAAAGGAACAGTTCCTGTTCTAAAGGAGTTTATATTCTGTCTGGGGAAATGTGTACATCTATAAATTGATATTAAAAATATACAAAGTAAACATAAGATTTTTTTTCATTCATATAGAAGATGGTGTTTCAGCTGACCTTTGAAGGAGACCAGGGATTCTAAGATCTGGAGATGAGGAGGAAGTGTGTTCCAGACATGAAGGACAACCTGTGAAAGGACATGGAGAAAGAAGATAGAATATCATACACTAGTGATAGCAAAGCAGGTCAGTGTGGCTACACTGTGCAGTGTATGAAGGGTATAAAGTATGTCATAAATTTCGAAAGGCAAGCAAAAGCCAGTTGGGAGAGGCTTTCAAATGTCAAGCAAATACATTTTTTTTTGATCTGAAGAGCCAATGGGGGCCACTGGATCTTCTTAAGCCAAAGAACATCATCTGACCTGTGCTTTAAGAATATCGTGGGGACAGCTAGGTGTCACAGTGGATAGAGCACCGGCCCTGGAGTCAGTAGGACCTGAGTTCAAATCTGGTCTCAGACACATAACACTTTACTACCTGTATGACTCGGGGCAAGTCACTTAATCCCAATAGCCTCACAAAAAAAAAAGAATATCATGTGGGCAAGTATGTGAAGAATGGATTGGAGAGGGAGAGGATGGAGGAAAGGAGACCAATGAGGAAGCCATTATGATAATAGGCTAGGTGAGACATGTTAAGGGCCCGAAGTAGGGTGATGGTGGTGTGAGCATAAAAAAAGGAGATGGATGTGAGAGATGTTGTGAAGGAAGAAAGGAGATGATTTGACAACTGATTAGATGAGAGGATTCAGGAAGTGTGAGTTGAGGATAATTCTAAGGTTACAAACCTAGGAAATTGGAAGGATGGCGCTGCCTTTAATAGAAATAGGAAAGCAGGAAAGAGGGATGGGTTTGGAAAAGAAAGATGTTGCAATATTTTGGATGCCCAGATGACTTCCAGTTGGCAAAGTCCAATAGGCAATCGGCGATATGGAACTGGAGCTCAGAAGAGATTGGGTCTGGATCCACAGCTACCACAGAAAATGGTAGCTGGATCACTGAGAATTGATGAGATTGCTATCAATTGAGAGAGTGTAGACAGAGAAGAGGTCCCAAGACATAGCTTTGGGGTATACCTACAGTTAGTGGACCTTAGATGGATAATGATAAAGCAAAGGAAACTGGGAAGGAGTGGTTAGAAAGGTAGGAGGAGAATCAAGAAAGCAGTGTTGCAAAAACCGAGGAAGGAAAGAAAAGCCAGGAGGACTATGTGGCCAACAGCGTCAGATGCTAGAGAGATATGAAAGGATGAGGACTGAGAGAACTGGCTATTCTATTGGTAACTTTGGAGAGGGATGTTTCAATTGATTGATGAGGGAGAGGAAACAGAAACAATTCGTGCAGATGACTTTTTTTCCTAGTTTTATTGGGAGAATGAGTAGAGATGGGATGGTAGGATGGTAGGTAGGATCAAATGCTTTTTTTAATGATGGGGAGACCTGGTTGTACTTGTAGGCAGCAGAGAAGGAGCCAACAGATAAGGAAAAATTGTCCCCTACTAGATTATAAAGTCAAGGAGGCCAAGGACATATTGATCATTGCATCTCTCTCCAAGTATCTGAAAATGTATAGGACAACTCTCAGCTAAGCTAATAATACCAGCTTTTTGCTGCATTTATACACTTAAACTGAGTGGGAGTGAATCATATATTTGTGTTTCCTTGTCTTTTTTCGTGGTCAGTGAGTACAGGGAAGTTTGATAGCAAGTAACTATGTAAGAATGTTAACAGAACGTCCCCGAACCTGCCATACATTCAGGAGGCTTCCTTGCAGGCACACAGTGAGCCTGAGATTACAGAATTGACCAGTGAGTTAGATCTAAAACCAAGAAGGGCAACTTCATCCATCTCAAAATGGGGGAGGGGTATTCTGGAATGGAAAACATAATTTCTCTTCTGGTTCAGAAGAGATCCTGACACTGTAATGTGGAGCTTCTGACCTACAGAAGATCATGAGTGAAGCTACAAGATCTGGGGAGCTCAGGATAGACAGATTTAGAAAGTTTAACCTACCCTGAGGTAGTTTTCTTGTATATGCACTTCTGATTACTTTACCATGCTATTTTATTTCTGATTTGTATAGTATCCTAGTCCTGCAAATAAAATACAGCAACACGTTTCTTAGGATCTTGAGTGTGTGGTCTCAGGGGATAGGAGAGGAAGAGGGTGTGGCTACTCAAATCGAGTATGCACTTACAGGGGGAGTGGCAGAAGAGGGAGGCACTGGATCTGTCAGCTCCCTGAACTCAAGCAGCTAAGCAGATCTGGGGACCAAAAGTTTCAGGAGCCTAGAATCCTCAAACTGGGGTTCAGTAGCAACGGTAAATTTGGGAAAAAATGTGAAAGGTAGATGACCTTAGAGTCAAAGACAAAAGTCCCCTCAATTGGTAAGTTGCAGATTCCTTGCACAAAGGGAAATGTTTTATCTTTGTATCTTCTAACCTAATATGCTGCCTTCTACATAAAAGACACTGAATTATTAATAAGTATTTGTTGAATTTAAAGAAAGTGAATGCCCAGAAAGTTGCCTGAGATTTGCGGGGCCTAATGGGATGACTAGATCTTTTTGAGTTTGCATTTCCTTATTCACCCATGCCTTATTTTCTACTATTAAAAGGTTTCTTTGACCCTATTAACATCTAGTTATTGGTCAGAGACATGTAGGGAGTAGACAAGAGATAAACCGGGAAAAGTCAGCAGTTGATTTGGGGGCTTCAGAAACTCTGGAGCCCTAGAGAGTCTAGTGGGGGAGAGATTCGTAATGGATTACTCTAGTAGGTAGGCAAAGCTGGGGGACCTGGGAGAGACAGGGTGCCAGTGAAAGTCTAGGGCTCAAGTACAAGGAACACAATTTCCCTTTCCCTCCCTGGAGTCCCAGTTCAGACTGCTGGACTTACCCTCTGAATGCTGGCCAACTAGAATCTCAGCAATTACAGTTTCTGCTGGAGGAATTCCTAAAGAGAAATCAGAGGCATGCTGTTATGTTTTCTGTGTGCAGTACAAATATCAAAGACAATTTATTTATCTATGCTTTTTAAAAGTTTTCAACACTGTGTATACAACAGTTTTAATTATGATAAATTTATAAATGTACAAGTGTTGGATTTTAAATTTCTACTGTTTTTAAACAGCTAACTATCTCATTTTTTAAAGCTTTTGAAATGATATGAAGAATGTTTCTCTAAATAAGAAAACATTGAATATACTATGCTGATCTAACCATGTAGGAATTTTGAATGTTTTATCATCAAAAAAATTGAAATAAGACTACATTATTCATGCAGAACATTACAACTAATAAAGTATGCATTGTACTCCTGAGGCCCAATCCACTCTGAAACTGCATGGCCCAGCTGCTGTACTCTCAAACATTTACCCCTATCCACAGGGACATTTTGCTGGGAATAGATGCATAATGAAGGCTGTCTCAGGGTGATGATAACCCATCATCCCAGGTTCCGGATATTACTCTCCAATGGTAGAAACAGTGAAATGCGGTTCCATTTTCCAATTAAGGTTAATATCATACCATGTGACCTGATTTTAAAATGTTTTGTTGGTACCTTTTGTCTGTACATTATTGTCATTAGGCAGAATCTCCTCTCCACCCCACCCCACCCCACCCTCACACACAGAATAAACTTTCCCCTTATTCTATGGGATAAAAATAATTAAAGAGAAATATCTGATATAGTAATCACATCTGGCTATCTATATAATACTCTGCTCTGTAGAGTTAATGCCCAGTTTGCTTTAGCCTTGAGGAAGAAGAATGTAAATGCCAGCTATATGCACCCCACTTTTAAAAAACTCCAGCCAGTCATCATCACCCCTTTTTTCCTTTCCCTCAGAAGTGACACACATAAAGTAAAAAGTAAGAAAAGGTGAAAAGCCTGCAAATATTTGTAGTCAGACAAAAATGAGAAAAGGATACAGTGGTTCCAAGAGAACCAGCTGCCTACATGGTCTGCCAAGATGGTTATTTTGTTGCCTGAACGTAATATGTTGGAGTCAAGACTGCGGAAAAACTGACTTGACCCAATTCATCAAGGGAAATGCCAAAGAATTAGGAGAGGGCAGGGAGAGTGTTTGTTTTGTTCAGGCCTGAGATAGAATCTCCAAAATGACTAAATAAAATGTACATTGGAGGACCTGTAACTGATGATCAGAATGCTACCCTTTTCAACATATTACCTGTTGTTCTTTAGTTGCCAAATGATACCCCAAGGAGGACAGCAGCTCTTTGCAATAGTCAAGGATAAGAAGGCCACAGGAGGCTAATCTGCTTTTGAGTAGAACACAAGGCCCAGAAACCCCTTTACTGGGAAAGCTGAGAGAGCTGCCTTTGACATTGCTCCTACCTCCTTCTCACTGGCTGAGATTCTACGAACTAACAACACCTTCTCATATTGTCGCGATGCCATAAGGAAAGAAATGCAAAGCCAGGCTCCACAGATTGGAGTCTCACAGAAGTAAACATTAGTAAATAGTAAACATTTGCCTTTTAGTCCAAGCTTGGAAAATCTTGCTAGACAGAAGGCTAGAAGACACACGAGGACTCCAAAGAGATGGTCTGAATGCCATGTGAATGCATGGGTCTCTCCCTCCATCTCTTCAGTTTGGTGGAGAATGAACAATCACCCAGAATTAACAAGCTCTTCTAGGTTAACCAACTTACAGAGCCATTTACTGGCCATAAAAGGTTTTCCCAGTGTTTTCTTAGAAAATGATCTTCACAAATAATAAAAAGATTCCTGTGCTAGCTATATTAGGTTGCGGTGGGATGTTAGAATGAAGAGTTGAACTTTGAGTAAAGACAGACTCGGCTTCAAATTCCACTGCTAAGTCCTAGTAGCTATATGATCTTGGTAAGAATCTCTCAAATCTTACTTTCTTCAACTATAAAATGGGGATAGTCATGCCAAGGAGCAGCTATAGCTCAGTAGATAGAGAGCTGGCATCAGTCAGAAGACCTTGGTCCAAATCTTGCCTGACACACGATTAACCTCTCAGTGTCCTAAGAAACTCACAAAATTTAGAAGTTGCAAAGCAGGGGCCAATTTGCATTGATAGAGGAATTTTCTTTTGCTGGAAGTTCCCTCTACCTATAAAATCAGACGTCTAGTTTTAAAAAAATTACCTGTAAGTTCCTGCCTCACAAGATTGCTATGATAAGGAAATAAGGTGATGTCTCTAAGTTGTAAAACTTAAAAGTCCACTAGAAATGTCCATTTCTATTATTAGCATGGAAGCCAACTGCCTGTCCCTAGGCCAGGGCCTTGTACACCACAACTACTTTCCAGGAACTCATAACCAATTAAAGGGAGTCTTGTTCTTAACTCAGATTGCAGGGGTTTTTTAACCTGAGGTCCATGAACTTGTTAAAAAATATTTTTATAACTATATTTCAACACTTGGTTTCCTATGTAATCTTATGTATTTCATTTTATGTAATTGAAAATATTATTCTGAGAAGGGGTCCATAGACTTCACCAGACTGCCAAAAGGGTCTGTGAAACAGAAAAAAAAGTTAAGAACCCCCAGGTTAGAGATGTTTATTATTGTTCTCTTTTAAAACTCTAGAGGAGGGAGAGGAAGTTGTAGTTAAGACCTTATAGGAAAGCAAAGGAAAGGAAATTTGGTGTGGCTGACAAGGTGCTAAGGGGCCAAGAGGGACAATGACAGTGGATGACTCACTTTTCCTCCCCCCGCCTCCCAAAAGAGCAGTTTGCTTCCAGCAGTCTGTAGGGAAATTATTAATGAAAACAAAAAAAGATTGAGGGTCTCATTTCCAGCAAGTATGGAAAGCATGGTGAATTCTGTAGTTACCTGTACTATGCATGATGCTAATATGGTCATCTCATGTGGATATTAGTGTATGTGATCCAACAGAGCATGAGAGCTGGAGCCAGAGGACCTGAGTATTCAAGATCTGCCATGTAATAACTTGTGTGACCTCTGGCGAACCACTTAAGTTCTGAGGTTATAACCTCATTCTCTTATCTGACTAGAGAGGAGTTTGGACTAGGTTACCCCTAACATCCTTTGCAACTATAAGTCTATGATATTATGACCCTCCCTCCTTAAGAAAGAGTAATGAGGCTCAGGGAAGGGCCCTCAAGCCTGCAGATTGTCAGGGAAAATGAACAAACAGAAGTAGGAAGGGTCTCGATGTGAAAATGAGGAAGAGATAGAAGGCAATCATGACCTGGGTGAAACAGGCGTGTGTGTGTGTGTGTGTGTGTGTGTGTGTGTGTGTGTGTGTGTAAAAGAATGTGCCAGAGGAGGAAAAGAAGAAATAATAAACATTTGGACTTAAGAAACAGATGAGGCTCTTCCTGAAAAAGGGGGAACTCTGATGAAGAAGCCCCTTCTGACTTCCAAGTAATAGTGATGGGAAGGAAGTACAGGTACTAGAGCAGCCATGCAAGGTCAAGGGGAGAAGAGATTGTTGAATGGTGACTAAGGATTCCTGCTAAGGGATAATAATGTCAAGTCAAGTCAATAAGCATTTATTAAGTGCCTCTACTATATGCCAGACACTGTGATAAGCACTACAAAGAAGGGCAAAAACCCCAAAACAAAACAAAACCAATCCCAGGTCTTAAGGAGCTCAGTCTAATGAGGAAGACAGTGTGCAAACAACTGTGTACAGACAAGCTATGCAAAGGAAAAGTTGGGTATAATCAACAGGAGGAAAGGCATTGGGAAAGCCTTCCTGGAGAAGGTGCAATTTCAGCTGAGACCTGAAAGAAGCCAGGAAAGCCAGGAGGCAGAGATGAGGAGGGAGAGAATCCTGAGTATGAGGGACAGCGGGAGAAAACGTATCAAGTCCGAAGATGTGGAGAAAGAAGCTCTGAAGACAAAGCAAAGGAAAAACCAAATGATTCTCATGAAGAGGAAACAGGGGAGCTGTCTAAAGAGACTGATATGAACACACAGGGAATTCGTCAAGCAACCCAGCTTTAAAAAGGTATTTAGAGAAGAGGGAAACAAGGCTAGGTAACAGATGACGAAGACTTTGGAGAGAATGTCACGGTCTGGTGAAAATATCATCAGGAAGGCCACCGCTCACAATGAGCTAAGGTTGGCAGCAAGATTAAGGACCAGAGACGTTGTGTGTGTGCATGTGTGTACGTGTGTGTGTGTGTGTGTGTGTGTGTGTGTGTGTGTGTGTATACATGGTGTGTGCTGGCTTAAATAGAAAGAAGAAAGGCCTCAAAGAAGTAAGAAATGATCCCCAGGATGATCAGAAACAATGGAGAGAAGTTTTCGCTCACCAATTATTTTGCTTCTGTTTCCTGTCAAGAAGAATGATCTTTGAAAGGGAAAGTTAAAAAATGGCTGATGGGCAGCTGAAACTCAAGCTAAGCAGGGAGATGGTGAGAGAGCACTCCTCAGTTGCCCTTGATGAGTTCTCAAGTCTCCAGATGCAAATCAAATCACATCCTTGGTATTAAAAGAATAGGCAGAGGGATGAGTGCTGAACCATTCTCAGGGGATGTTGGAAGTACCGTCAAGAATAGGAGAGGGGCTGATGGATTGGAGATGAGCAATTGTCCTGATTTCCACCCCTATCCCCCCCCCAAAAAAAGGGTGCAGGTGAGGCAAAGAAGAAATTCTACGAACTAAGATCAGTGAGGCTGATTTCAGTTCCTGTTGTCACACAGTGGGTCCACAGGCCAAGAGGCCCAGTAAAGACTGAGCCATTACAAACTTTTTACAAAGGATTGGAGAATACAAGACCTGCCAGCCTACCTCCCATGGCATTGTTTCCCACAAATCTGAAAGGATACTATCTATCAAATTCAGGACCAATGGTTCCAGAAAGCCAATGGGCTGACCTATATGTAAGGGGACAGGCACCCCAGACATTTGTGGATAATCTGTACAACCTTAGCACGAAAATTAAAGTTAGGGAAATCCACTGTTAGGCTGGGGTAATTAGGTGGCA